TCTCAGAAGTGTTTTACGAGAATACCAAATTCTTTGCCCTCCCTCCAAAAAGATATTTCTGTTTCTACTCCTGAAAATGATGCATTTATTACACCACGTCTCAAGAACAATCCTTTGAGATCCCAAAATTTCTGCAGAGAGTGAAGAAAACCTTCTCTAGAATGCAAAGCCTTGACACAGAGTGTAGTGCAAGAGATACATAAATGGGGCCATTTCAGAGGAGTGTGTGCACCCCTGGCCGACGAGCCATGAGAAGAGCTGGAGGGCCCAGCTGGGTGGCCCCAGGTGGGAAGCATGGCCAGCCGGGACTGCATGGCCTCTAGGGCCACCTCCTCCTTATCTTCTGAGGCAGTTGTGCCTCCTGGAGGTTCAGGCTCTGGAAGGGTGTCAGTCACTTTAGTAGGTGCTTTGCCCAAGGCCCCTGCTATAATTTCAGACAGAATTTGTCAATTTCCATTTCTGCGGCTTCTTCCATTTCTTCCTGGTCATCCATGCTTTCAAAACTGCCCTCTAACATCTCTTCTATGATGCCAGCCTTCATCATCTCTTTGGACAGTTCCTGCATGGTGGCCTAGATTTCTGGGATCTTCACAAGATTCTGCATGTCCTTCATCACTTCTGTGCTCTTCTGCAGGGAACCAGCCCCTTGCAAAACCTACAGCTGGTTCTTCATCTCCATGAGCACAGAGTTCATGTGAGCTTTGGACGCATGGAGCTTGCTTATAGCCTTCCTTGACCTGATCATCTCCTTGGCCAGGACCACACAGAAATCTTTCTGACCCTTGTTGGCAGCATCTTTCACAGATCATTTCACTTTTTCTCTTTGAGTATCTCTTATTTGCTTCTCAGCAACTCTCATTTCCTTTCTTATCTTCAATGACCATTCATTGATCTAGGTTGAGGTTCGATTCCGATTGGGGCATGTAGGGGAGGCACTCAATTGATGTATTTCTCTCACATCCATGTTTCGATGTTTCTCTCTCTGTCTCTCTCCACCCTCTCTTCTCCCCCTCACCCCCACCCATTCCTCCCTCTCAGCTCTTTGGGTGGCTTCTTCTGGGTTTTTCCAAACAGCCCCATGGCTTACTGAATTCTTCTTGTCCCTTCTGGCTTTTCATTTCCTGCGCCCAGGCAGGTCACTGGCAACCACCTGGGAAGAGCTGGTGAGAGGATGGGAGTCCAGCCAAAAGCATATTTTTTAAGTGACTTAGTGGGTGGGCTCTCATTGTTGTTTTTTTCTGTTCTTAGATAATTTATTGGCCTTTACCTATTTACTAACTTAACTTTTTGATAATGAAATAGTTTAAAAATATAAACAATTATAAAGAATGGTACAGGAAATTCCCACGTACACACCACCTGGGTTTAAATGTTCTAATGTAATTTCTAACAGTAATCTCTAGAAATATAGATTCTGTAGCATCTTAATGAAAATCTGGACTTCCAGGAGTGGCTCCAGCTACAGAAACTGGCTTATTCAATTTAATCAGCTCTGTTTTCCTGACACAGGCTCTATGATGGTTCACAGCCTGTATTGGCGATCACTGATCCAGACATGATCAAAGCAGTCCTAGTGAAAGAATGTTATTCTGTCTTCACAAATCGGCGGGTAGGCATCCATTCCTTTTTAAATTAAATATTTATTAATTTTTTATTTTTAATATTGAAATAATAATAGATTAACAGGAAATTGCCAAAAAATATATCCAGGTAGATACCATGTCATGTATCCTTCATTCTGTTTCCTCCAATAGTAATGTCTTGTATAACTATGGTACAATATCGGAACAGGAAATTGACATTGGTACTATCCACAGAGCTTGTTCAGATTTCATCAGTTTTATGTGCGCTAATTTGTGTGTGTGTGCTGCGTATTAAAATTGATCATGTATGTAGATTTGTGTAACTACCACCACAATGAAGATACAGAACTGTTCCACCACCATAAGTTTCTCTCTTACTGTTCTTTTATAGTTACAGTGTGCAGCTTGTCTTTTCCTTTATCAGGGTCCTTAGCAGTACAAACATTTTTTTTAACTGATGAAGATAGTTTATCAATTTTTTTTCTTTTATGGGTTGGGCTTTTTGTGCCAAGTACAAAAACTCTTCACATAGTCCTAGGTTCCAAAGATTTTCTTCTGTTTCTCTAAAAATTGTATAGGTTTATGTTTTACATTTAAGTATATGATCCATTTAATTCTAATTTTTGTATAAGGTGTGAACTATAGGTCAAGGTTCTTTTTTTCCCTGTGGATGTCTAATTGCTGAAGCACCATTTGTGAAAAGGCTACCCTTCCTCCACCCACCCTCCACTCCACTCCTCCCAAGGGAAGGAGGATACAGGAATCAGACCGTGCAGAGCAATACAGGGCCTCCTCTCCTAAGGACCCTCCTATTGTTTTCCTAAACAACTATACCTGTGCATACCTCCACACAGTTAGACCTAAAGCAGCTGCACATGCACACCCACCTGGACCCCAAGATCCTCGGGCACATACCTCATATGTTTATGAGGCTCACTTATCTGTGAAACAGAATTGATGTTTCTGGTGGAGGCTTGAACTGGCCAAAAAAAAGATAGTAGTCTGAGCTTGGTGTCATGTACTGGCAGGTAGGAGGGACAGGCTCTGACCTGCCAACTCCCCTAGCAATATGAATCTTGGCAAGAGGTGGACTGCAGGACCTGCTGGAAACAAGGGCGGGTCCTGTTTAGGAGGGGCTTCGTTAGAGCAGATTAGAAGGGAGGTGGGGTCTTGTTCTCTCCAGATGGGCTTGGTTGGGACATTTAGAGAGAATAGCTTCGGGGAACTGGGCTGCTTTTATGCACATGGCCAGCCACGTATGCCAGGGCTGGCTGCTGGAGTGAATCCCACGACTCTGGGTGGTGGCATACTTGGGGCGGCTCTAGTGGCTATGGAGGGTGATAAGGCAGGACTCAGAACGCTAGATTCTGCAAGTGTGAAAACCTGTGGAATCATCATCAGCAAAATCAGCAGGGCGTTCACGGTAGCTGCGCTGGCTACTGGTTTCCTCAGCAGCTGTTCAGGTCTGGTGGGGTTTTCCGCAGAGCAGGACGTGGAAAATCATGATACCTTCTGACAAATGACTGTACTAACAGTTCCTACTCTTCTTTGCTCTTTGCTGTCACTAGATTTATCATCTGTGCTGGTATAGTGGGCACAGTGAAACCAAAGCGGGCCTTTTGGACGGTGCCCTAAAAGGTTAGAGAACATTGCCACTCACCCTGATGTTCTTTCCTCAGCAAGGGGATGGCTCTCAGGCTGGGCAGTGCCCTCCTGGCGCTGAGCAGTGCCAGCCTGGGGAATGAGGTGATGCAGGCAAAATGAGACTGTTCTCCCTGCCCATTTTGTAGTTATTCTCAGGTGTTGTTTTGTTGCTGCTGTTGTTTTGGGTTTTGGTGTGTTTTTTTTCCTCCACTCTGTTGCTAAAGATTCCTGAGTGAACTACTGAACTCTTCTAGACCTATTTTTGTTTGTGGATGGCTGTCTAAGTGTTCTTTGTGGGGCAACAGAAGCTGGCGTCTCTAACTTTGCCATCTTAGTGATGTGACTCCAGGCTTTCGTTAGTTAATTCGATGTTAGCTGTAAACTTTTCTGTAGATGCTCTCTATCAAGTTGAGAAAGATTCCTTCTCTTCCTAGTTGGTAAGTTTTTATCATGAATGTGTATTGGAGATATACATTTAAAACAAAATACAAGTAGGAAGAAAAAGATGGAAGAAAGTCTCAAGTAGGTTGGCTTGATTGGCCAGTCCCAACCTGAGAAATAGAATCACATCTTCATTTTTTTCTTTTATCCCTGGTGGAAAAATATAGGGGGAAAGGGTTTCCTTGAAATTTTATTATTTTTTAATAATAGCAAGTAGATTCCTAATCTTTTAAGTATTAACTACTTCTTTTAAAAAATCACCATTAAGACATCCTTTTTTTCAAGTTGCTTATGTTGTACATACAAGTAAAGACAGAACTGGTCTGAGGCAGCATACAGTTTGCCAAAGCTACCTGTCTGTCNATCTTAGTGATGTGACTCCAGGCTTTCGTTAGTTAATTCGATGTTAGCTGTAAACTTTTCTGTAGATGCTCTCTATCAAGTTGAGAAAGATTCCTTCTCTTCCTAGTTGGTAAGTTTTTATCATGAATGTGTATTGGAGATATACATTTAAAACAAAATACAAGTAGGAAGAAAAAGATGGAAGAAAGTCTCAAGTAGGTTGGCTTGATTGGCCAGTCCCAACCTGAGAAATAGAATCACATCTTCATTTTTTTCTTTTATCCCTGGTGGAAAAATATAGGGGGAAAGGGTTTCCTTGAAATTTTATTATTTTTTAATAATAGCAAGTAGATTCCTAATCTTTTAAGTATTAACTACTTCTTTTAAAAAATCACCATTAAGACATCCTTTTTTTCAAGCTGCTTATGTTGTACATACAAGTAAAGACAGAACTGGTCTGAGGCAGCATACAGTTTGCCAAAGCTACCTGTCTGTCTGTCAAGAATTTCTTTCTATTCCGCACATCCCTGGATGACGTACTAGACGTATTGCTATTTATTCCCTTGGAGAAGCAGTTTCCCTGACACATGGGTCCTTTGCATTGAAAAAGGTGATTAGAATAAAGGCTGGAAAGCACATCAGGTGTCTGGAAGTCTCCTGCACCTTCATGAGATGCTAGACATTTGGGATAAGTATTTATTGAGTATCTAGCATAGGACCTGCTACTAAGTAGGCAGTCACCAAATATTTGTTGAATAATTGATGCCCGTTTAACAGATTTTCTACAACTGTTGAGACCCCCAGAACTAATTTAGAGCAACATGTCTTTTGCTTTTACTCTAGCCTTTTGCTGCAATGGGGTTTATGAAAAGTTCCATCTCTATGGCTGAGGATGAGACTTGGAAGAGAATACGAACGCTGCTGTCTCCAACCTTCACCAGTGGAAAGCTCAAGGAGGTAAGGATATAAGAGGATATTTAATTTGAAAGTTAAAGAATGCATCTGGAACAGGTAGAAAATAAGGTAGTTTCTTTCCAAGGGTAGCCTGCTGAATTTGAGCTTCCTAAAAATGGTCTTTCATTTTTATGTCCTAGAAGTGGCATTATAAGCTTCATTACAAAATATTGCTTACTGCTCCATGTTTGAGAAAGCTAGGTTTTCTAGGACACGAGTCTTCACATTTAATTGTGGGTGGTGCTGTATTTTGTGTCTAGATGTTCCCCATCGTTAGCAAGTATGGAGATGTGTTGGTGAGGAACCTGAGGAAGGAAGCAGATAAAGGCAAGCCCGTCACCTTGAAAGAGTAAGTAGGAGTCCAGCTGCTGCGATTCTGAGCTCTGCCCCAAGGCCTCCAGCCGCCTGACAGCCGAAATTCCCACTGTTGAGTTCCTCTGGTGACCAAACAGAAGTAGGTGTGTGGTGTTAGAACTCCAGGGGGCTGCCCGAGAAGACGTGGCTCACCCAGAAAGGCAGGGCAGCCAGGAGAGAAAGATCTTTTCCTGTGTACATGCACCAGGATTAATTTGTCTGCTTAATTGTCACCTTGGATATTCTGGAAGACAAAAATACCCAGCTTAGAAAGTAGAAACACGATTGTACAAGCAGTTTTGGTGTAGAGAGTGTGACATAGGGCAGGGAAGGCACTGCTATGTGTTGGTGGGCAGTGGGTGGCGCAGGGAATTTGCAACGTGGAACTTGGAACAACTTAAACCCCTTCATGATTTTGGTGGGGATACCAGCAAAACACTAAATACTAAACCTTACCATCACTTCTCCTTTCCTTAGTCTCAGAATAAAGAAGGTCCTGTACAGACTATGGGTAGGGTGAGCATGTCATTTATTTTCTAAAGTAAGATACTTCCGCCCGGCTGGACGTGGCTCATGGTTGAGCATCGCCCTTTGATCCAGGAGATCATGGTTCAATTCCTGGTCAGGGCACATGGGCAGGCTGTCGGGGGCGTGCAGGAGGCAGCCCATCAATGACTCTCTCATCATGGATGTTTCAGCTCTCTCTCTCCCTCTCCCTTCCTCTCTCTGAAATCAATAAAATATATTTTAAAAATCTTAAAAAAGTAAGATTCTTCTAACTATGGGGGAACAACAGAGGTAAAGTGGGACTGATCTGGGAAAACTGGGGACATGTGATCACTGACCTCTGGGATTCCCCCAAATCGATTTTGGAGTGATTTATTATTAGTATTTTTTAAGCCAGGAACATTCTTAATTCTTACATTTTACAGAAATGAGCCTGCCCTCGAGGCAACTTCGGATCACTGGAGTTGAGGAGAGTGGGTCTTTCAGGAGCTTTAGCAGGAGTGCAGAGAAGGAGGGATGGTGTTCCTGGCAACTCAGACCAGTGCTGCTGTTCTGTAATGTGCTGGAGCAGAATCAGCTCTGAGCACAGATACTGCGTGAGGCAAGAGCCACATCAGTGTCACCTTTCTTGATTCCACTAGGAAGAGTTCATTGTCTACCCTTTGTCCTGCTCAGGCACAGCGCTGGTACTATTGTCCAGACTCAAAACACTACTGTAATTTGTCTGGTTATGTGTCTCCATCCCTCTGACTGATCTCGTGTGCTCACAGGTGGGTCTAACTTGCCTTAGTGTGCCCATGACCCAGCACAGGGCCAGCTGCACCTCATGACTGAGTGTGACAGGAGCACAGATTCTTTAGATGGTCCAGCAGATGGTTTTGACGGTTGTGTGGCTCTTTACCTGTCTTTGCCTGGGTATATGAATTTACATGCCCCTCTTGTTTTTGTTGCATAAGGATAGTAGAGAGTTGCTGATTTTAATTTTCTATGTCTTTCTTTCTCTACTCAGCATCTTTGGGGCCTACAGCATGGATGTGATTACTAGCACATCATTTGGAGTGAACATCGATTCCCTCAACAACCCACAAGATCCCTTTGTGGAAAATGTTAAGCAGCTCTTGAAATTTAATTTCCTCGATCCATTCGTTCTCCTAATGGGTATGTAGACTACTGTATTTTTTTTATTTCTCCCTCATCTCCTTCCTCCTTTCCCATCTCCTCTCTCTCTCTCCTCACTTGAGATATAATTCACATACTGTATAATTCATCTATTTAAAATGTACAGTTCTATCATTTTTACAACCTAGTGTCTGTTCACAGATAAAAAATGTGACGTGCATACATAAATAGATGGACAGGTAGCTAGATAAATAGATAGAATGGATATTATTCAGCCACAAAAGGGAAGAAAACCCTGCCATTTGCAACAACATGGGTGAACTTTGAGGGTATTATGCTAAGTGAAATAAGACAGAGAAAGACAAATACTGTATGATCTCACTTATATGTGGACTCTGAAAAATACCCAAACTCATAGAAAAACAAGAAATGATTTGTGGTTATTAGAGGCAGGGTTTGAGGGTGGGGGAAATAGATGACGGTGCTCAAAAGGTACAGACTCTCAGAAGATAAACAAGAATGTAGATTCTTAAAGTTCTCATCATATGGAAAGAAAAAATTTTTGAACTCTGTAAGGTAATTTATGTTAACTAAACTTATTATGGTAATTATTCTTCAGTATATTTATGTCAAGTCATTATGTTGTACGCCTTAAACTTACACAGTACTTCATGTCAATTATAACTCAATGAAATGGAAAAAATGGTTTTTAGTACATTCACAGATATGTGCAGCCATCATTATATTAATTATAACATTTTTGTCAACTTAGATATACGGTACTTTTAACTTTAACATCCCACTCCCCTTAGCCCAAAACAACCTCTAATCTACTTTCTGCCTCTATAGATTTGCCTTGCTGGACACTTCACATAAATAGAATCACATATGTGGGTTTTTGTGGCTGGCTTTTTACAATTTAGCATAATGTTTTCAAGAGTCACCCATGTTGGAGCATGTATCGGGACTTTATATTTTATTATGGCCAAATAATATTCCAGTGTTTGAACATTCTGCATTATGTTTATTCACTCATCAGTTGATGGACATTTGGGTTGTTCTACCTTTTGGCTATTGTGCTGCTGTAAATATTCTGTACAAGTTCTTTTCTTATTACCTGTTTCCATTTTGGGGGGTTTCTTTTGGTTTAATTCTCCCACTCAGGGGTAGAATTGATATATCCTATATCAATCTGTGTTTACCGTATTAAGGAATTGCTAAACTTTATTCTACAATAGTGACACCATTTTACATCCCTCTCCCCCCCCCCAAGTAAAGTATGAAGGTTCCAATTTCTTCACATCCTCACCAACACTTGGTTGACACTTTTGGATTATGGCCATTCTGGGGGGTACAAATTGGTATTGCATTGTGGTTTTCATTTGCATTCTTTTAATGATTGAGCAACTTTGTATATATTTGTTGGCCATCTTTGTAACTTCTTTAGAAAAATTTCTATTCAAATCCTCTGCCCACTTCAGTTAGGTTGTTTGTCTTGTTGTTGAGTTGTAAGAATACTTTACATACTCTAGGTAAAAATTCCTTATCAAATATATGAGTTGAAAAATTTTCTTCCATTCTTTAGGTATCTTCTCTTTTTCTTCATAGAGTCCTTTGAAGCACAAAATTTTTTAATTGATGATCTACAATTTATGTATTTTTTTATTGCCTATGCTTCTGGTGTCATGTTTAAGATCCATTGTCAAATATATAATAAAAAGTTACCCCTTGGTTTTCTTCTAAGAGTATAAAGTTTCAGCTTTTACTTTAGTTCTTTGATCCATTTTTATCTTGTTTTTGTATATGGTATAATGTAGCAGTCCAATTTCATTCTTTTGAATGTGACTATCCAGTTGTCCCAGCACCATTTATTAAAAAGCTCATTTTCCCCCATTGAATGGATTTAAACCCCTTCTCAAAATGCAGTTGACCTTAATCTGAATAGATATTTCTCCAATTAGAACACACCAATGGCCAATACACATGAAAAGATGCTTAACATCACTAATCATCAGAAAAAATCAAATTAAAACCACAATGAGATATCACCTCACACCTGTCAGAATGGCTGTCATCAATAAATCAACAAACAAGTGTTGGTGAAGATGTGGAGAAAAGGGGACCCTCATGCACTGTTGGTGGAAATGTAAATTAGTGCAGCCACTATGGAAAACAGTATAGAGTTTACTCAAAAAATAAAAAATGGAACTACCGTATGACCCAGGAATTCCACTTTGGTATTTATGCAAAGAAATCCAAAACACTGATTCAAAAAGATATATATGCACACCATATGTTCATTGCAATTTATTTACAATAGCCAAGATATGGAAGCAACCTGTGTCTATCAATAGACAAATGAATAAAGAAGTTGTGGTACATATATACAATGGAATGGTAGTCAGGCATAAAAATTGAAATCTTGACATTTGTGGCAGGATGGATGAACCTAGAAGGTATTATGCTAAGTGAAATAAATCAGACAGAGAAAGACAAATACCATATTATTCCATTTCTATCAGAATCTAAAGCAAACAAACAAAACAGAAACAAACTCATAGATACGGAAAACAAATTGATGGTTGCCAGATGGGAAGGAGGTTGGGGGTATGGGTATAAAAAGTAAAAGGAACTAAGTACAAATTGCCAGTGGTAAAAATTAGTCATGGTGATGTAGAATACTGAATAGTAAATATAGTCAGTAATATTGTGATAAGTATGTATGGTTTCAGATGGGTAATGCACTTACCAGGGTGATCATTCATAAGGTGTATAAATGTCTAATCACTATATTGATGACCTGAAACTAATATAATATTGTATCTCAACTGTAACTTAAAAATAAATTTAATTTTTTAAAATTTAATTGACCTTAGGCACATGAGTTAATTTTAGACTCTAAATTCTATTCTATATGTCTATCCTTATGCCAGTATCACATTGCCCCAATTATTATAGCTTTGTGGTAAGTTTTGAACAAATCAGGAAGTTTGAGTTCTGTAAGTTTATTCTTTTTTTTTTTCAGATTTGGCTATCCTGGGTCCTTCACAATTTTATAAAAATTTTAAATTTAGCTTGTCACTTTCTATAAAGAAACAAGCTAGGAGTCAGATAGACAATGCATTAAATCTGTAGATCAATTTGGGTAGAACTGCCATCTTAATAAGATGAAGTTTTCTGATCTATGAACATATATGTTTTTCCATTTACTTAAATCTACTTTAATTTAGGCAACCTAGGCATAGAGAGGAATTTCCTCACCCTGGTAAAGGCCATGTATGGAAAACCCATAGCTAACACCATACTTCAGAGTGGAAGCCTGAATGCTTTCCCCTAAGCTTAGGAACAAGACAAGAACGCCTCTTTCACCACTTCTATTCAACATTATGCTAGAGGTTCTAGCCAGGGGAAGGAGCTTTAAAAAGAAAAGAAATAAAAGGTATTGACATAGGAAATG